CTTTGCCGACTCTGAAGAAGCTCAATTTGTCGAACGCCCAGCTCGCCAGTATAGATGGCTCGTTCAACAACATGATCAATCTGACGAGACTTCAGCTCGACCGCAATTACTTCGTGTCCCTCCCTAATACCATTGGTAATTTGAGGAAACTGGAGCATTTCAGCATCGCTCACAATTCGGTAGGCGAGCTACCTCCAGAAATCGGATGCTTAACTGAGTTGAGAGAATTGGATGTTAGAGGGAACAACATTAGGAAGTTGCCAATGGAGTTGTGGTGGGCAAACAAACTAGAGTCGCTCAATGCCTCATCAAATGTACTGGACAACTTTCCAAAGCCAGCTTCACGGCCGCCCCAGATGCCCGGGGAATCCTCAGGCTCGCCTATCCCTAACAATAAGGCGCCGCCTGGACCCCTATCTCAAACATCTAGCTCCGAAGATCTTTTGCCTGATGGATCACGTCGACCTAGCCAAGCGTCAAGTACGCTGCTCAGCGTCGGACCTTCGCCTGTCCCTTCAGGGTCAGATAGGAAGAGCTCTGTCGTGTCTGTCTATGGTAAAGGGGGCCGGAAAACTTCGGTTGTTTCACGAACCACGACGGCCAGTAGTGTTAACGGGACTATGACGCCCTCCGCAACGTCAAGGAAAGATTCTGGACTTTCCAATCGACTGACCAATACATTTGCCGGTTCGTTGAAAAATCTCAGTCTAGCTGATAATCAGCTCGACGACGACGTATTCGATCAGATCACGCTTTTGGCCGAATTGCGTATCCTCAACTTGTCGTATAACGAGCTCAGCGACATGCCGCAGCGCTGCATCAAGAATTGGCCTCAGCTTGTAGAACTTTACCTATCGGGTAACGATCTAACTAGCTTGCCGGTTGATGATCTGGAAGAGTATAGCTTACTTCAGGTGCTTCACATCAACAATAACAAATTCACGAACCTTCCAGCAGATATCTCCCGAGCTAAAAAACTAGCTGTGTTGGATTGCGGAAACAATGCCCTCAAATACAATATTTCAAACGTCCCATACGACTGGAACTGGAATTTGAACCCGCAATTGCGTTTTCTCAATTTGTCTGGGAACAAACGATTGGAAATCAAACAGACAACTATTGGCTTGGGGTCTCAGAATCGCGAGCAATACACCGATTTCAGTCGACTGGGAAACCTCCGCGTGCTTGGGCTAATGGATGTGACCCTCACGCAACCCAGTATTCCAGACCAGAGCGAGGATCGCCGTGTCAGAACATCGGGTTCTATAGCCGGCCACTTACCATACGGTATGGCTGATACGCTTGGCAGGAATGAGCACCTATCAACTATCGATCTAGTCGTCCCAAGATTCAACTCCTCAGATTCGGAAACCCTCCTAGGGCTATTCGACGGTCAGGCGCTATCTAGTGGTGGCTCTAAGATCGCCAAGTACCTCCACGAGAATTTCGGACACATCTTTACCATGGAGCTCAAGGCTTTGAAGACGCGCCAGAACGAGACCCCCATTGACGCCCTTAGACGTGCGTTCCTTGCCCTCAACAAGGATCTTGTTACCGTAGCCATCGAGCATACTGAGAAAAGGCCGTTGATATCACATCGTGGCTCTACGGCACCTGTAGCTCTTAGTAGGGAGGATCTCAATTCCGGAGGGGTTGCCACGATCGCGTACCTTCAAGGCCAAGAGTTGTTCGTTGCCAACGTTGGTGACGCGCAAGCCATGCTCATTCAAACCGATGGCACACACAAGATTTTGACTCGGAAGCATGACCCTGCTGAACCGAGTGAGCGTCAACGAATCCGAGACGCCGGAGGCTGGGTGTCACGCCAAGGAAAGCTGAACGACGTGCTTGAAGTCTCTCGTGCCTTCGGCTACGTCGACCTAATGCCGGCTGTACAAGCAGCTCCCCATATAACCCAACACTCGATAACACAACAGGACGAGACCGTCCTGATTGCATCAAAAGAACTATGGCAGTATCTCACACCCGGTTTAGTTGTTGATGTCACCCGATCCGAACGAGGCGATCTCATGCGTGCGGCACATAAGCTGCGAGATCTTGCCATCGCCTACGGATCAACTAAGAAAATCATGATCATGATGATTAGCGTCGCTGATCTTAAACGGCGCCAGGAACGGTCGGCTCGTTTGCATAGAGGGCAGAGCATGTCACTGTATCCCTCCGGCGTCCCGGATGACTTTCAATATCCGACCAAGCGGGGCAGGAAAGCGAAGGGCGAAGTTCAAGATTCTACACTGCACAGACTTGAGGCCGAAGTCCCCGCCCCCACTGAGAAGCCTTCCATCGTTTTCACTGATATCAAGAATTCGACTAATTTGTGGGAGACATACCCCTCTGCTATGAGATCCGCGATCAAGGTCCACAATGAGGTTATGCGACGGCAACTCCGGAGAATCGGCGGATACGAAGTAAAGACCGAAGGTGATGCCTTCATGGTCTCGTTCCCCACCGCCACCTCGGCGCTGTTGTGGTGCTTCGCTGTTCAAACCCACCTGCTCCAAGCAGACTGGCCTCCAGAAATTTTAAACTCAGTCTCTTGTCAAGAAGTGTTTGATAAAGATAACACCCTTATTTTCAGGGGCCTGTCTGTCAGGATGGGTGTCCATTTCGGCGAGCCGGTCGCGGAAATCGACCCCGTCACCCGTCGTATGGACTACTTTGGTCCGATGGTGAATAAAGCATCCCGTATATCATCAGTAGCAGACGGGGGGCAAATCACCGTCTCGTCAGACTTCATCTCGGAAATCCAGCGATGCCTTGAGACGTACCAGGAAAACGAAAGGAACGGGTCTAATGCTCTCGAAGACACGTTCGATGACGATGCAGCGTCCTCAGCGATCAGGAGAGAGCTAAAGTCACTTAGTTCACAAGGTTTCGAAGTCAAGGACATGGGCGAGCGAAAACTCAAAGGCCTTGAAAATCCCGAATACATCTATTCGCTCTATCCGCATTCCCTTGCTGGCCGTATCGATCACCATAACAATGCGATCACGGCGAACGAAAGTGCCGAGAAACCAGCTACACTTCAACCGGGAAGTGAACTTGGATTTGACCCAGAGATTATATGGTCTCTGTGGAAAGTTAGTTTGCGCCTCGAGATGCTTTGTAGTTCTCTGGAGGAGATGTCTGGCCGAGGCTTACAGCCACCCGAAACTGAACTTCTGGAGCGAATGAAACAACGAGGCGGTGAGGTCACGGAACGGTTCCTATTTAACTTCATGGAACACCAAGTGAGCCGTATAGAGGTATGTATCTCAAATCTTTTAGAACGGTGTTTGGATATTTACTAATTCTGCTCCTCTACAGACTTGCATTTCCACGCTGACAATGCGGCATATCGCTATGGGCGGCGGTAAGATCAACTCACTCGACGATCTGCGAACGCCGATGGCCGTTATTCTAGACAATCTTGCTATCCAACTAGCCGAGCTCGAGCGATACAAGGCCAAATACGGCGACCTCAGCGCCGATAGCGAAGGGTATGAAAGCGACGCTGATTAAGAATAATTCCAATCGTGTACATCTTCGAAGACCCTCAAACCCAAGCCCTCGCTACCCATATTATATATCACCCTAAAACCCATAGATTTTGCATTTCTAGCCGTCCATCACCCTACACGTTTCCCGCATTCGAACAGGACCGATAGGCCCTTCCTATATAAAAATCTTTCCTTTTAATGTGCTACGACGAGGATCATCTTTACGAGTACTTCTGGGTGTCGAGGCCGTTTGTTTCGGGCCATGGGCGGTTGGTTGATTGAAGGTGGGCAACGGCGTCCTGCGAAAAGCCGAGGGCTCCAATGGAGCATATCCATCCCTCGCAGTACTCCATTGTACTTTACGATCAGCACCGTTGGGTATTTATGTGTGTGCGCGTCTTTGAAAAATATCCGACAGAAAAGGGCGGGAGGTGGTCTGAACATGAGTGAGCCTCGTTATTATCAGGCATGAGTGGCATTTGGGTACTTACAGGCATAATTGACTCCACTGCTGTTGTTGCTATCACAACACAGACAACTACAAAGTAGGCGTTTCTCGGAAAGGGGGTGGAAGGCGGGAGAAATTCAGGGATTGATTCTCTCTTTATTTACCTCTTTTTTCTGGCTTCGGGGCCCTTTTCGTAGATGGGCTACCCGCTGATATACATTATACGGTTTCGGCTGCTGGCTGGCATTGTCTGTCCGATACACACATATCAAAAGTGTTAACCTACATACCTGCCTACCTAGCCTTGACCTAGGTAGCAAAACAAGCAAGTGAACTGACTGCCCATCGCTCGTTTAGGATGGGTAGTTTGGTCTTGCTAAGTGAATGAATGACTTATTACTGAATTTGATATCTGGCTCTTGTTTTGGAAAATTTGTGATATCCCAGGGCGTTAGCTGCTTTTGGTCATTTAGAGGTGTTGAACAAGTACACGGAAAGTGGCCAGTGGAATGGTTCAGGCTTGAGACAAGGGCAGAGTAAATTCTTCCATGGGAAGTGCGTCGTACTTCAGGGGGCCAAGACTGAGGTGATAAAGAGTTCAAAAGTCCCAGTTAAGTGATAGAGACAATTGCCTTCAATACAAAAGTGGATGGTGATGAAAACTGTAGAAGTAATAACAGAAGTACTTTATCATAATAGTTAATAGCTATTATTAATATTCAGAATCATCGTCACATAGTACACACCATCACCCGTCGCCGACGAGGAGACGTCAGATATGATATAGGTTGGACAATTGGTTGGTGATTTGGATGTTGGGGTGTAGCCAGACCGCTCGCTGTTGAGTTGACTCGAGAGCCTCATGTCAAGTCCATGTTTGGTGCACCCCCTTATCTCTGAATTTGAACAAGGTATCGTGTAATGATAGGAACGCACAAGACAGAAAGTAAAGGAAGGGAATATTGCAAAAAGAAAACAAAAAGAATAAAACGCCGTCGCAAGCCTGGCTCGAACCAAGACCTCGGCGTCTATGAAAAAAAAAGAGGTGGTGTTGCACCCACCGGGATTTGCACCCGGGTCTTTCCCTTGGGAGGGGAATGAGCTAAACTGCTGCTCCATGGGTGCTTTTTTACTTGTTCTTAGAAAATTGAGCGTCTATTAGGGATTATAAGGTCTCGCTTGGTTCCCGTTGTTTCAAAAGCCAGTGCGGCCTTTGGTAGGGAAGGAAGGAAGGCGGCATCGTGAACCGTGGATGTGGGTCCACACAGGAAGGTGCGAATGGACAACGGTAGGAGCACTCAAGTCACGTCTTAGGATACTCCTACTACACGTAGTTAAGCTAACCAATGATATCGGTCATATCTCTGCGCAAACGGGATAAAGTTGCTATAACGAGAGGCGTGCGGCTACTTGCTTGCATGGTTAGAGACGATTTCACATTGAAGGTAGGGACAGTTCACTCCACTTCAGTCACCAATGGAAGTAGAGACACAAGCACGAACCAATAGTTACTAGTAATGCAAATTCTGTTATTTATTCCGTAATTCCCATATAATGAGTGATGATGCTATGCTATGCAGACTTAACCAAAACCAAACCACCTGGCAGATCAGATTGTAAGGCTGAAGGGGGTATATATCATGTATGTTGCTCAGATCAAGAACGCCTAACATTAGGTAAACCCCGACATGATATATCACATGAAGGTTCACCCAATCGGGCGCTGCCGGGGGCGTTCGATATTGGATGCATCCAGCTCATCCAATCCCTAATCTTGCTTGCCTGCTGTCCCGCTTCTCAGCCTTGCCACGTCACTTGTACACACACCAAAGACACATCCGACGAAACACTGTACATGCCGTAAAATACAATCAATGCTCGAAGCTCGCGACCTCTTGAGGCGTATACAAGGACCAAGACATCCGCCCATGGGAATCGATATTTCCCGCGGGGTAAAGAAGATATGCATGCCGATCGATCCAAGGCGTAATACAAAATTGAATAATGTGTTGAAACGAATCGCCGCCCAGAAATGCCCAATTACTTCCGCGGCCGCCTAATAGGCCTCACCATGCTGGCTAAAATCCGAAATCCCTAATTCCCAGTGAGCTTCCTCCACCAGCTGCTTCGAGGGGTCGAGTCCGTGAAGAAAGACTCGCGCGGCCCTCCTCTACTATCGCCGTTGCCGTTACTGCCGTCCGAACCGCCCGTGCGGCGATCTCTACGTTCCCGCTCATCACGACGCGCACGGCGGCGGCGGCGATCATCTTCCATCTCGGCATCGACGTCAGCATATTTCGCGCGCCGACGAGCTCTTCGCTCCGCACGGCGGGCTTCCTCGTCATCCTCCGGGGGTGCATCGGTAGTGGGTCCGTCCTCCGGGGGTGGCCCTGCATCCGAGTGCTCCTTCACCCAAGAATCCGTACCCGAGTGGGGCCATGCCGGGGCTTTGCCACGTCTACGGTCGTCGACTGCATATCGCGAAGTCCTTTCTGGTGGGTAGACGTAGTCATCCACAGGCACCGAGCGTCTTCGATTGGCCTTCTCTTCGGCTCGTCTGGCTTCGTGCCTCCTCCGCCTACGTTCTTCCTCATCCTCTTCGGGATCAACATACCGCGACCGCCGACGTTCAGCCCGAGCGGCACGGCGAGCTTCGGCCTCTGCTTCCTCGGCGGCAGCAGCGGCTTCTCTCTCTTTACGAAGCCGGCGCCGTTCCGCTCTTTCGGCTTCTTTGGCTTCGGCGGCAAGGCGTTCTGCCTCGCGTTCTCGGGCGGCTCTGCGTTCAGCCCGTCGAGCCTCACGGTCAGCTTGCCGGCGGGCTTCGGCAGCCTCCTCCTCCTGCCTCCTACGTCTTTCACGCCTTTCTTCCTCTTTCGCAAGACGCGCCTCCTCGGCGGCCTTTTCTTCGGCCTTCCTGGCACGGCGGGCTGCACGACGAGCTTCTCTTTCCTCGTCTATAGCCTCAGTATCGATACCACGGTAGTCTCGTGTTGATCGCCGTGCCCTCTTATCCGGCCTGATCTCATCGTCCGTGGTATAATATGTACTACGACGCCGTGGTTCAGGACGCATATCCGAACGCGGAGTGGAGGACATGATTCCACCAAAAAGACCGGAGATGCCCTTTTTGGCACTGGAATTTGACCGTCTAAGGGGCGTTGCCTCGACAGGGATTTCTGGGTCGATCGCGAACGTCTCTTCCTCTGGTCTGGCCTGTTCTGGGTCAGCGGCATCGAGTCGTATATATTGGGGTGTCCTTACCCTTGGTCGCCGCCGAACTGGCTTGTCAGGACTTGAAGGGGCATCGGCAGTTTCGACCATAACAATGTCCTCATCCTCCATAGCGCGTGTGGAGCCCTTGTAACTACGACTTCTTGGGGTCTTATCGAGACCAAAAATCTTCGCCGCCTTAGAGGACATTGGAGGTACTTCCTCGGGAGGCGGCGACGCCATACCATTTGACATGTCAACAGAATGACGGCGAGAACTCGTTTTGCTCGAGCTGTGGCGTTTATCGCGGGTTGACATGGACCGCGAGATAGGGGGGGTGCTTTGAAACAAACTATTAGTGCGCTGTTTGGGAGTCGGTGCGGATTTCTTCTCCCTCCGCTCCTCCCGGCGCTCCTCCACCCTATTGTCTCTATCTGACGACGAGCCCTTTGAAGATGACGACTTCTCCTTCTCCTTCCTGGAGCTCTTCTCTTCGAACCTCGGCTTTGACCTCCTTTCCTCTTTACGAGGCGTTGCAGACCACATTCCCCATGACCCGCTCGCTTCGCGATTAACTTTCGGCCGTTCTCTTCTAGAAGGTTTGACCTCGGGAGGCGGCGTCGGAGGGGTCTCGGGCGCAGCCGGAGGAGGGACAGGCACTTCAGGCGGCGGAGGCGGACTGGGAGTCAAGACCACGGGTGGAGGAGGGGGTATCTCCACAGCCTTGGATTTACTCTTTTTACTCTTCTTTTTCTTCTCTACAGGTGCCATATCGACGATTTCTACTATTTCGTCCTCGAATGCATCATTAGGAAAGGCTCCGGGGAGGAGGTCCTTCGAAGATCTGAATGTGTTATCTTCCTCAGCGGGTGGCGCCATAGGAGCAGGTGGTGGCGGTGGCGCAGCTAACGCGCCCATCAGGTCATCGTCATCCTCTTCTTTGGCCGGCTCAAATTTCTTGAGCTTGTCAGCAAGCTTAGTCCCTTTGGTCTTAGTCTTGGCCTTCTTCGGTTTCAACCAGTCATCATCAGTGGTAGCCTTGTAGGATGATGGTGCATCCTCGACGGTGACGGCGGTGACGGCGGTATCTTCGAGAACCTTTGATGACTCAGCACATCTGATCTCGGCTGCTCCCGATATCTTGGGGGAGGTCGCGGGGGAGTTACTTACCGGTTCGGGCAACGGGCTCTTGGGCTTTGCCCCCCAGAATGAAAACGGATCAGGTTTATACGAATCGGCCTTAGGTTTGTAAGTCTCTGGTTGTTTGGGCTGCACCCTTGGAGCCGAAAAGCCTGATAAAATCTCATCAATTTGTTCGGGAGCCAAATCGATATTGTCAAGATCGAGTTCGTCGTCGTCGTCCCTATGGTCCTCCCTTTCTTTCTCCATCTCCGCTTCCCTCTCTTTCTCCCTCTCCCTTTCCTTCTCCCTTTCTCTCTCCTCTTCCTTCTCCTTTTCTCTCTCCCTCTCCTTTTCTTTCTTGGATAGTTTTTCCTTGCCGCTAGACTTAGTATTCTTATCCTCAGACTTGGAACTCTTCTTCGATTTCTTCTTAGTCGCTGCTTCAGCCTCCTCGCGTTCGCGCTGGGCCTGTTCTTCAGCTTCGCGAGCAGCTTCTTCAGCCTCCCGAGCCGCTTGTTCCTCGGCTTCACGCGCAGCTTCTTCGGCTTCTCGCGCCGCTTGTTCTGCGGCCTCTCGTGCTGCTTGCTCTTCAGCTTCTTTAGCGGCCTGTTCCTCAGCTTCCTGCGAAGCCAGATCCGAGTCAAGCCCGACTTGCTCCTCGGCCTCTTCGGCCTCCTTGGCCGCTCTCTCGTCGGCGCGGGCCTGGGCCCTCTCCGTAAGTTCGTCGAACCTCTTCTGATCTGACTTGGTAAGCTTCTTCTTCTTCTTACTCTTGGTAGTTAAGGCAGCGAGCTCGGCTTCTTCGTCAGCGATTTCGGCGGCAAGCGCCTCTGCAGCAGCTTTCTCCTCGGCCTCACGGGCTTCAGCTGCGGCCCTCTCTTCTGCTTCGCGGGCTTCTTCTGCAGCTCTCTGCTCTGCTTCCAGAGCCTCGGCCGCTGCCTGCTCCTCGGCTTCTCGTTGGACCGCCTCTTCAGCTTCCTTGGCAGCTTTCTCGTCGGCGCGACGCTTTGCGTTCGCATTGAGCTCGTCCAATCTCTTCTGATCTGACTTGGTGAATTTTTTCTTCTTCTTACTCTTAGCTGTGAGTACGGCAATCTCTTCTTCTTCTTGTGCAATCTCGGCGGCCAGCTCAGCAGCTTCGGCTTCTGCGGCAGCCTTCTCCTCGCCGCCATCATTTGCATCGCCCCAGACATTTTCTTCGAGTTCCTGGCCAGACATACTCATATCCAAAGAAGGTGGTGTAGGTGCTGGAGGGGGAGATGTTTTCTTATCCTTATTCCCACTTCCCCAAGCCCAGTCCTCGTCGTCGAGTTTACTGCCTTTACTCTCTTCGACTGAGTCGGGTTTAACACCTTTAAGGTAAGAGTCGTCCTCGATCTCAACAGGGACGTTCTTACTACCCTTCTTCTTTTTGTCTTTCTTTGAACTGCTCATGAGACCCCAAGGATCATCATTCTTAGGCTCCTCTATGGAGTCCGGCATTAGACTACCTCCGGACTTGTCTCTGCTAGTGCTAAGACTTCCCCAGAAATCGTCATCTCCCGCAGCACTGGGGGCTTCAGGCACATGTGGTGGCGGTTCTTGGTGTTCTGAATCGGTATGCCCTGGCTCCTTCTCAAATTCAACTAGCGCGGCGGTTGATGCTTTGATTTTCTTCTTGCCCCAGCTTAGCCAACTATCATTATCTTCGGCCGATGTAGCAAGGAGCTCCTCCTTTTTCTTAGTAGGCTTCTTGGTAGCGCCCCAGAAACTCCAGGCACTAGAACTGGCCTCCTCCTTGTTGCGTGATGGGA